TTACAATTACTATTAATGTGAGTAGCAATTTTATTCCTAAAAGAGGCAAAGGATTTGCTTTCTCTAATTTCCTTCAGAATAGAATTCCAAAGGTAGGCTCCGTCATACATGAAACTCTTTTTCATGCTATTTGTACGCGGTTTAGGTAAGCAAAGACTACTCGAAATATCCCGAAGATTGTAGTTTGTCATCTCACCTTTATATGTGAAAAGATTAGTGAGTGACTCCGGACCCATTTTATTTATTATTTTGTACATTAATTTTGCTTTAGCTTTTTGTCTTTCCGTTTTGAGTGGCACCCAGCTCAATGCTTGTAAAGCAACAGAATGTTCTGTGTCATTGCTCATATTCATGATAATTCGAGCAGCTCTATTTTGGAGTTTTTGGAGTCGCTTTGATTGTGTTTTCCCAAACACATCCCATACTTCACAACAATAATCGAAGTATGGCCGAACAATTGCATTATATACAGAAATAAGAGTTTGTCTATCAGTAAACTCTTTTAAACGCAGAAGAGCCGATATTCCTGCTGTTATTTTCTTACAAATATTGTCAGTATTACTTTTCCAAGACAAATGCTGGTCAACTGTCACTCCAAGCGGTAAGTTTCTCTTTACCATAAAATTTGACCGAATAAGTTTCAAAACAATGCGACGGCAAAAAATGCAAAAATCTTCATTTTCGTAATAGAATCTATAGTCTTTTTGCCCTCTTGTACCGCCATCTTGGATTTATCATGTAGGCCCCGCCTGCGCTAGGTATGCGTTAGCAATCTAGATCTCCTATATCTATGGTATACACCATGGTTTGCCGCGGGAGAACGGGTAGAAATTACAGGTAAAAATGCTGACATCAGCAAAACTTGATAAATAAAATGGCGATACTCGTACCCTTAAACCGGAACCGGGTATCTTAACCTCTCTAATTGAGGGAGTCTACGTTTAGAGGACGGCGACTTGAGAATGGCTACCAAACAAACTCTTTGCAATGTATGATTGTGTAAAATTCTTGTCATGTATTTGCCACCATATTAATTTAATACATTTTAAGTAGGGCAATTTTAATAGAAGGGGGGATGGGGAGTCTCGTCACGAAATCACGAAGATCATTTTTAGATTTCACGAAAAACAAAATTTCATTTTCACGATTTTTAGAAACACAGAAGCGTAACAAAGTCTGAAACCATTTAGCAATTTTCTAGACAGCAGAACTCGATGTTAACACAAACACATTTTACTGACTTTAACATTAGAGCTTTTAAACGACTATGGAAATCACTGCGAGGCATTACGAAACATTACAAGCGTCTTACGATGGTTCACGAAGTCTACGAAGAGGTTCTGAATGCGTATTGAGCTAACTTGTGGCTCACAGATCGAAATTTTAATTAAATTATCTATTATTTGAAACAAAAAATGTAAACAAAACACGCGCATGAGCAGAACGGACTTGACAACCTCTTTAAACAAACCAAAAAGAACGAACACGGAAAATTACTTGCGCAAAATTAATTTAAAGCTGCACGAATACTTCTCAACAAGGTTAGCTAAATTAAATCGCGCAAATTTAAAGCTGAGCGAAAATGAGTACGGCACAAATTTAATCTCTGCCGAAAGTCGTGGGTTTTCTCCAAGTTGACAGAGTGGGTTAGAATAAACACAGTTAAGAAAGTAATCAGATTTGTTGGAAAGATATATAGTCTAGAGTAACTAAGTAACATAAGTAGGCGTAATACTTGATGTAATCGGTCACTGAAACCCCCAATGGGAAGTGAGCTGAATAATAATGTAATGTCATGTAACATATAATTGATTTATTACTGCAAACCTATCGATCCGTGTGCCTCGATCTTCATCAGTGCTAATAATAGGTGGCATTATTATTAGTACTGATGAAGATCCTGGCTTGTAGTAATAAATTTACGTGGTGTAGCTTGCGGATCGAAACCTTTGCAGTAATAAATTTACGTGGTGTTTCCACAAACAAAAGTATTGTAGTGTTTGAGTAATAATATCAAACACTGCATTTAACTCTCTGCCAGATAGTTTGCGAAATTGCAAAGATTTCAACATTTTTAGAACAAGTGTGAAAGTCTATCTCACAGACTTGGTCCACGAGAGGCTCGGGCCGGAGTTTAAATGACTATGTTTTGTTACATCTGATTTGTGAAATATGTACTGTGAATGTACTGTATATATGTATTAATTCTTCATAGCTACTCATTGTAAATATAGATCTTGTTAATGTAGATTAGTTAATTTAGTGATAGAAGAGCCAATTCAATTTGGAATCGCTAATAAATCATTATTATTATTATTATTATTGTTATTATTATTATTATTATGAGATTTTTTACAAAGTCGCGTATTTGGCGCTCAAAACCAATCAACATTGCCGGAATGCTGAGAAGGCGATAGAACAATGCTGACAATCAGGCAATATGGCGGCGTCGTTTCGTGTAGTGTGTCGTTTGAAAATGCAGGGCCGTAGCAACCGGGGGGGGGGGGCTGGGGGGCTGCAGCCCCCCCAATAATTTGCTAATAATCATTCTTTTTTCAAAATCATGCAAACTTTATCATTTAATCTGTGACAAACTGCAAAGAATGAAGATATTACTCATACTCCAGATCGTTCCTCGCGTAGAAATTTTAGCTGAATTTCTGTCGCGCATTTTCAAGAAAATCCCACAAAATCTGCACATTTTTGATGAACTAATGATTTATTTTGTCTTTTGCGTGTTGGGTCTTGCGAAAGAAAACTCTGAAAATGCCATTTCAGACCATCTAGAGACTCCAGATTTTCGAAATTTTCTCAAATGTTCTGCCTTCATTTCCGCGCAACTGCCATTTACGACGAAAATTCCCGCCGCGCATTTATAATACTACAGTCTGGCCCATACTTTCCTGTAAATTTCGACATACTAAAACGCTGTTTTCTGACTATCAGAATTCTGTTAAATCTTCCCCCAAAGTGCAGGAAATGGCATTTTAGAGACTCTAAATTTAAAAATTTCCTCGGGCCTTCGGCCCTCGCTTTCAGCCCCCCCCAATCGAAAAGAGCTTCCTACGGCCCTGAAATGATGCAGTTTTTAACGCAAATGAAAACTGGATAGGGAGATTTTTGATAGATAATTAGTCAAATTAATCTTCAAGAAGTAAGGAGATGGATTTAACAAGATGAATTTATAATAAACAAAGAATTACAAGCGATGCAATGTTTAGTGGCATTTGTTTTGACTGTCATGTCATGTCATGGAACCTTGGAAGGTATGGTTGAATTTATACTGATTTTCTAGCCAATAACCTGCTTCTGATCAGACTAGAAAATATTAAAAACAAACCTGACATACTCAACTTACAGCAAATCATATATTAACAGAACTAGCGTGTTTGTCCAACATTAATATTGCAGATTTTTACAAACGATTTCAAAATTTACTGATTTATTTGGAAAGGTGATTAAATGCAGCATGTTTGGCTAAAGCTTTAAAACTAAATGGAAATATTGAACTACAGTATATGTTCTGTTTTTTAAGATACATTTTCTGCAATTAAATGTATCGATTTTAAAATCCAAGTAGCCATGGCCAGAAATCACGGACATGAGCCGCATACGCCAGCGGAATTTTTCTACGTGAGATTGAGTACTTCGTTTTACGGAAAGACAAAAGTGCAAATTCAAAATGGCGGACAAAAGGAGTGTACGAATAGATTACAATCAATTTCATCACATGTCGTCGGAGTTATTGTATATAACAAAGCCAAGAAAAAGACTGGTGAAAAAATATCCTAAAACCTTTCAGGTTGAAAGAATCATAGCTCGTAGAACTACTAAAAAGGTAAGAAATTTGCGCGATATAAACATTCTCATTTTGTTATTAAACTGTGATCAGATTTGCCTACACGAAAATTAATATTTAATGCCTTGAAATGTATGCTTGAAATTCAAATCAAGTTCAAATCGATAATTAATTGTGTAGTTGACATGTAGTTTCTTTCTTAGTATGAGGAATATCTTGTAAAATGGCAGGATTGGCCATTGGAAAGTTCGACATGGGAACCAAGCTGCCACTTTTCCACCCAGCTGTTGAGGTAAATGGAAGACTTGGAAAAATATAAGGGACTTTACTGAATGTGTAGTGAAGATATAAAGGGATAAGAAGTGTTTACCAAAATATTTATAAATGAAAATGTTATTGAATATTTTGCAGAAATTATGACAACCCAGTGAAGCCTACTAAAGAAAGACTATATGAGGCAGGAAGACAATTTTTTTCTGGAATAAACACTGCTTTAAAAGGAAAATCGAGAGCACCAGTTTACGTCCATATTGATGGTGACATATGGCAATATTTGAGTCACAACAAAAGCAGAAATTCTGAGCATCGTAGATTTAAACTTTATGAAAAAGATGATTTCTGTCTGTTCAAAGAACTTCCAGACAACTGGTGGTATATCCTTGATAAGAATGGTGACGGTTATGCGATAGACTTTCCTGTGAAAATAAAGCCATTAGTAACATGGACTACTGCCAATTTTATTTGGAAAAACAATAGTCTTGTAGAAGGCCCAGGAATGCCAATGGAAAAATTGTGCATTATTATTGTCAAAAGGCCATGCAATATTTACAATTTGCATTAACTTGAGTTACTCATTAATACTTGATAGAACATGGACCTTAAAATACTAATAGTATTATCATTATGACATAGCCATAAGCTTTTAAAGTTGCATCGTTAACGGTTTTTGTAAAATTAAAGCAGATTGATAAATTTAAAGTTCCATTGCTTCTGCTGCCAGCTGATCTCTGAGAAGTTCCCGGAGTCTTTTTATCGTTCTAATACGTGTTTTGATACCCCTTTCCATCAACAAGTTTTGTCAACATTTACAGTACCCGGGACTGCTGCATGGTGCAGCTTGTTGACAAACTCGAATACGTTTGGCACGATTTTCAATGATATCTGTTTCCCAGTATTGTTGGGTATGCTTTTTGTAAGGTCTTGGGCACCTTTCATAACTGGCAAGATTTTCCAATCTTTTTTCGACTAGCAAGACGTCTTTGGGTGCATCCCACTTGTTGGAGCGCTGCAAATGAATGCGCCGACAATCGTCATTCAATTTTTCCACACCTTAAAAGTTTAACAAAGGTAAAAAAGATGTGTAAGAATAATGGTATTATAAAGACTATAAAGGAATGGCATTATTGATCTATATTGGACATTCATCCATCCAAATCATTGTAATGCTTATTGGTACAAAAAATGAAATTGAAACCACAGGGCATCATTGTCCAAGATTGAAAATTTTAATTATTACCTTTCCTGAAGGGAGCACTGATCTGAAGCCTTAACATATTACAGTCTTTCCTTGAGATCAGTGGATGTGGATATTAAGGGCCAACATGGGATCATGAGCTAAAAACCATCGGCGGAACAGCAAGTTACCAACGCAATTAGTCTAATACGATTATTGATACTATAAGCGACATTGTGTTGCAAAATGGTTGTAAATATTTTGTAATATGTAAGCAGTGCGAACTCAGTAGTAAGCAAATGGTTTTGTTTGGAATAGAAACTACTGTAGGACATGAATAAGGCGAGTTTTAACTTTTAAGCGCTTTTGAAAGTTGCCGATTGAGAGAGATTCATCCACGTGAAAAATACATAAAACCCTCGACGTTTCAGACGAAGTTCTATTTGTATTTTAGGTTAGTTGTATCTCTCTCAATTAGCAGATTTCCGTTGTTATCTTTGCTAATTGGTCTATTCCATTAAAAAACCCTACCCCCTATCGAGGGCAAGGGTTTTACAATACCTCGATCTGTCTTTAATCAAAACCCCTCTAAAGAATTTAGTGTTTTACACTGACCCCTGAAGAAATTACAATCAAAATACCTTACCCCTGAGGATTTCCAGGGCAAAATTTACTTACCCCAGAGGAATTCCAGGGCAAAATGTCAATATTGTTCCCGGGGCATATTGTATTGTCTATGAAAGCTAATAGCAACCTAAAGTTTGCAAGTTAAACATGCTTATATAAAATCACGTTTACTTTTTTAAGTATTATAATTTACCTTGACCAGTAAATATCTTCATACTTCTGTGATTTTTCATGAATTGAGGTACATGATAAACCATGCTATGCATGTACGGGGTTACACGAGCTTTTTCATGGCCAAAGCATCTCCCTCCAAAGGCCGTCGTCCGCCATCTAAAAATGTGCCTAGAAAAAGATTTTCGTTGCACATATCGCGAGACTAACCAGTTCTTTCATAAAGTCATGGAAAAGCATGCCAAATTGAATATTAAAAGAACCCCCCAATCATAACTGTGCACAAGATTGAAAAATCGATGTTATTCCGTCGATGACGTCATCTATAGTAATGAAAAATAAAAATCTTTGAATTTTGAAAATTTTGTAATACCATCAGATAGTTACACATAAGTGAACAAAAAAACTATATTATACCGACCACTATGGTGGCCCAGGTGTGCCACGTACTTTTTTGTTTATGAAATCCAATTTTAACTTGATTTCAATTTTAATTTCAATTTAATTTCAATTCAATTCTAATTTCAATATAGTTTTAATTTAGTTTATTTTTATTATTTTTTTAGTTTTTTTTTTTTTATTTATTTATTTTATTATTTATTATATAGTTTTAATTTAGTATTAATTTAATTCAGTTTAATTGTTTTAAAAAAAAAAAAAAAATGAATTGAAAATAATACGTGGCCCAGGCGTGCCATTCCGGGGGGGAACGTAACTCCACTTAATGCATCCGCAAACCAGACAGATCGCGGTCACCAAGTAACTATGGTTACACTTCAGTCTTCAACTCGTGCAAGAAATATAAATACTTTAATAGTATTTCAGTTCTATAAACTTTCAAATAATTCTATATCTATTATCTAAACCAACGAAAATGTCAAAGCGGAAGCATTGGGATGTGTTTAAGAATAAAATGTCCCGCAAAAGGATGGGAAAAAAGGAAGAAAAAGACGAGACTGAGTATTTGACAGTACAGCGACTATCTGCCTCTGTCGAAGGAAAGGCACAAAAATATACAAGAATTGGCCCCTTGACAATGGTACCGTTTCTACATGAAGATAAGACAATGGAAAATATCAAACACGCATGCAAAGACCATTTCGAGATTGATAAAGGATATCAATGTGACGTTCTTGCGGGGGAGAGAGGACCATCTTATACAAATGTGAATCAGATTAAGAACTGGAAACTTATTCACATCCGGTTTGTGGAAAAAGAACCCGAGCTGAGAAAGAGCAGAAGTTCTAAAGAAAAGGAAGACCACACTCAAGCACATAACCTGTCACTACCAATATCATATGTCAACGTGCCTAGTTGCTCCAATATTGCACCGTCGTCTCGGTCTGTATTCCCTCAGTCTGTCCCTCTCAGTCAACTCATTAAGATCGGGAAGTTTATCCCACCGAAAAAGGACATTGTCACTTTACAGTTAGAAGCATTTGATGTTGAGAGAAGAAGCTGGAAAGATCCAGTGGAAGTAGTGTTGTCAATTAGCGTTGATAAGTTTGCAAGTGGTGCCTGCCGTGATGCATTTTTAGCTTTTTAGCTACTGGTCTCAAGGGATTGGATGGAAAGTTTGTGGTCAAACGTTATAGGTCTGATCGGGTTGCAGAGCTTGTAGAGCATTTTCAGTCCCTT